TAACAAAATTAGGCTACATTAATGAGCCTTTTAATTGTGGTATCTGTCAAAAAAAAGTTTGGTGGGGGTGGGGGATAAAAGCACACCAAAAAAAGAATTTAAAAACATCTGACTAATGTCTATTCACTAACTATAAGTAGATGAAAGAAAATAAAAACCAGCTATATTCATTTATTAAAGTGATTACCATGGATAGCATCTGGGTATGTATCTTTCTAGGCTTCTTGTCTGCATCCATTCAGATGGGGGTAGGTATCAAACAAAAATATGTTTAGAATATCACATACTGATCTGCTTTTAGTATGCCCTGAAGAACTTCTGCTTGGGATTGATCATCTTTCTTAGTAGGTTCCTTTATGAATTCTGGACTAACAGGCTTTATTAGCTTTATTATTTGAGGGATTGTTCATTAACTTAGCAAGCATTTAGTGAACACCTAGTGTGTGCTATAGTTCTAATTTTTTTTTTTTTACATTAATATGTAAGACCTCCACAGTTTATCTACCTGGGTTTGTTTAGAAAAACGTTGCCTATCTCTGAAGAAAGTTTGTAAAGCATGGCAGGCCCTAAAAATGGACCCAGTGCCATTTGACTGCTACATACCAATGTAGACAGCTGCTTGTCCCTCTACTTCTTAGAACTCATTTGTTCATCATTCAGCAAACGTTTGAGTATTACCAAGTGCCAGGGATTATACTAGGCACCACTGTTAGTTGTTCCGGAACTTAATGCTTCTTTGGCACTATTCACAAATGCCTGCTTAACTGGTGGTAAGATCTTATCTTTAAACCATCCATGTCCTTAACCTCTTGGAAAACAGCCAGATTGAGAACTAAAGAAGAGTGTTTGGGCATTAGGAAAAATACCGCCAAATCTCATATACTGTGCTCCACAGGTGAGAGCCTGTTGACTCAATACAGTTATTGATGTTCCGAACTGGTAACACCCTGATCCCAGCAGCCCTGTGGGCCTGAGTGCTTACAACCTAAGTCTCCTCTTGAGGAACGACAGCGCTGCAGGGGACAGCCAGCAGCGGCATGCCTGGTTGGACTGTGGGCTCCTCAGATTGTCCACCCCACGTAAGTGGGACTAATTAACAGAATGGATTGGTTCTGAAGTGAAAACTTGCTCTCTGAAAATCTGAATTTTGCATTTTAGTATTAGGATTTGATGGACTTTATAGAATGTTATCTAAAAGGGACTGGGATCATTTTTGTCACTTCCAAAAGTAGCCTGGAATTACCATCTTTATTTTGCTCTTATACTTCAGTTACTCATTTTGTACTGAGAGGAAAAGCAAAAGGTAAAAGTAGTAAGAGAGTAGAGAGGCAGTAGGCTTTCAGGAATACATATCTATTTCTGTTGAAGTGCCTCACTAACCTTCTGAGCCATTGGCTGTTCTTTCTGAGAGACTTCAGCTTTCTCTAGCTTTTTCACTTAGGAAATGCAAAAGCCCAGAACAAGTTAGTGATGGCTCCATCTCAGTGGATAGCTTATGCCCAGAGAAGGAACTGATCCTCTTTCCCTTTCTTTCGAGTTGTTGGCAGCATAATATGGGAAGGTACTTCCGAAACAGGAATGCAAAGTAGTGGGAAACATGGTTTCATAAGAACCATCTTCTCAAGGATATCTATTCAATAATGTGACTTAAAAAAAAATTGATGAAATGAAACCACACCTTATAATGTAAAACTTACTGTCCTATTTATATATCTTGGCTATAAGAACTAAAGTAGCAAATTTAGAAGATTTTAACATAGTAAGCCTAAATATTATTTTAGTGTTTTGACTTAAATTTTTAAAATCTAATATATATGCATAGCTAAGTCAAATACTACTACAGAGCTTATAATAAAAGAGAACTGTGTTCTGCTTTATCCCTCCTCATCCCTTTGTTCCCGCTACACCCCTTCCCCAATAACTTCTAGCTTGTCCTGCAGTTTTCCTAATGTATCAATTGTAGATGCTATCTACTGATTTCGTGTCATGAGAAATGAAGATTTAAAACTGTTGACATCACCATTTCTCTCAACATAATCCTATCACAGTTTTTGTTTAAATCAATGTGTTTACATTATCTTATAATTACATTTCTTTTACTGAAACTTTTTTCCCACATGATTTAATACTTACATCTTCTAAACTCTCCAAAAGAATCATAAAACCCTTATAAATTCCATTTCTCACATGGTCAGATGTGTAGAGTGCTAGATAATGTTTGGCATTGGCATCATGATTATGCCAAATCCAAACATTCAGTAATACAGTGTGGTTCTAGAACTTTTCCCCATTAAGAATCTGAGGCAGTTGCATCATATCTAGTATCTCTCTCTTTTTTAAAAGATTTTGTTTTTAAGTAATCTCTGCACCCAATGTGGGGCTCGAACTCACAACCATGAGATTAAGAGTCACATGCTCTGGGCGCCTGGGTGGCTCAGTTGGTTAAGCGACTGCCTTCGGCTCAGGTCATGATCCTGGAGTCCCGGGATCGAGTCCCGCGTCGGGCTCCCTGCTCAGCAGGGAGTCTGCTTCTCCCTCTGACCCTCCCCCCTCTCATGTGCTCTCTCTCTCTCTCTCTCTCAAATAAATAAATAAAAAATCTTAAAAAAAAATAAATTCAAAAGATTTCTATTAAAAAAAAAAAACTTAAAAAAAAAAATCACATGCTCTACCAACTGAGCCAGCCAGGTGCCCCAATATCTAGTACCTTATTTTAATCCGGTGAAGGTGGAAGATTAGAATCCTTGTAATTACTGTCAATGAACTAAAGCAGGAAACCTGAGCTTTGTATGAGGTTCGCGAGTGAGATTTAGGGGTTTGTAGACTCTCAAAATTGTGGGCAGAGCTATATAATGTGCATTTCTCTGGGAGGTGGGGGGGGTCCATAGTTTCCATAGATTTCCAAAGAATTCTCTCACCCCTAAGCAGTGATTATAACTTTAGTAACAGCCACTGAAAACTCTCTTTAAGCTGTGATTCTCAATATACTTTGGGTGTATAGCTCCCCCTCCCTAGCCCCATATCCCCCTCCCATCTTGCAGCCATCAGTTTGTTCTCTGTATTTATAGGTCTGATTCTGCTGTTTGTTTATTCATTTGTTTTTTAGATTCCACATATAAGTTAGATCATATAGTATTCTCTGTCTGACTTGTTTCACTTAGCATAGTATCCTCTAGGTCCATCCCTGTTGTCACAAATGGTAAGATCTCATCCTTTTTATGTCCAAGTAATATTTCATTGTATATATACACCACATGTTCTTTATCCATTTCGTCTATCAGTGGACACTTGGATTGCTTCCATATCTTGTCTATTGTAAATGCTGCAGTGAACAGGGGTGCGCATATGTTTTTGAATTAGTGTTTTTGTTTTCTTTGGGTAAATACCTGGTAGTAGAATTATTGGATTATATGATATTTTTAATTTTTTGAGGACCCTCCATACTGTTTTCCACAGTAGCTGTACCAATTTATTTTCCCACCAACAGTACACTAGGGTTCCTTTTTCTCTGCCTTCTCACCAGCATGTTATTTCTTGTCTCTGATTTTAGCTATTCTACAAGGTGTAAAGTGATGTCTCATTGTGGTTTTGATTTACATTTCCCGATGATTAGTGATGTTGTGCATCTTCTCATGTGTCTGTTGGACATCTGTATGTCTTCTTTAGAAAAATGTCCATTCAGGTCCTTTGCCCATTTTTTAATCAAATTGTTTGGGTTTTTTTGGAGTTTAGTTGTATAAATTCTTTATATATTTTGGATGTTAACCCTTTATCAGATATATCATTTGCACATATCTTCTCCCATTGAGTAGGTTGTCTTTTGTTGATGGTTTCCTTTGCTGTGCAAAAGCTTTTTATTTTGAAGTAGTCCCAGTAGTTTATTTTTGAAGAAGTATCACTTCTTGATAATTACATCTCCTGCTCTTTTATGCTTTAATCTTTGATGGTCTTTAGGATAACTGTCTGTCTTGCTCTGGAAATATTTTGTTATCCTTAAATTTTAAATATCAAATTATAATTACCATTTTGCATGTTTTGGTATCAACTAGATTTAGCACTGCTAAATGACATATATCAGATTTTTAACTGCAATTCATGATAATCTACCAGTTACATGAAATTTGTCTTTTTATTACTATTATTCCTACTTTGTTGTTGTTACCTGGCTGTTCTTTATTAACAGATACTATTCAAATTGAACCTAAGAGTTTCCACAAAACCATGAATATGTCCTTGTTTGGATATATTTCTTTCCCCTTTGGTTTTTTTTCTCTCATAATGTTTTCCCCTTGTAATACTCCTATTCTAGTTTGATTCTATTCCCCAAATGGTGATAGTTTACCTCTTAAAGCATCAAAAAGCTGCACATTAGAGATTTAGAAAAAAATATAATTCATTTGTCTCTGAGGGCATAATTTTATTTTTTTTTTTAAGCTTTTTTTTTAAATGATGTTTTTCCTTGTTCTACTTTTTTTTTTGAAGATTTTATTTATTTATTTGAGACAGAGAGAATGAGAGAGAGAGAGAGAGAGCACATGAGAGGGGGGAGGGTCAGAGGGAGAAGCAGACACCGCGCCGAGCAGGGAGCCCGATGCGGGACTCGATCCAGGGACTCCAGGATCATGACCTGAGCCGAAGGCAGCCGCCCAACCAACTGAGCCACCCAGGCGCCCCTTAAGCTTTTTTAAATTTATTTTTTAACAGAGAGACAGGGAGAGAGGGAACACAAGCAGGGAGAGTGGGAGAGGGAGAAGCAGGCTTCCCGCCGAGCAGGGAGCCCGATGCAGGGCTCGATCCCAGGACCCTGGGATCATGACCTGAGCCGAAGGCAGACGCTTAACGACTGAGCCACCCAGGCGCCCAGGCATAATTTTCTTTAAAGAAGAATGGTTTTTATTTCAAAAGTTTCCTTTACATATTTTTTTCTAAAGAAAATAATGAAATATTTAATTAAATATCAAATTATGTAAGTATCAAAATCATATAAACTTGACTTTCAGTGCAATGCGTGTTTTACTATCTAAATTACCAAGACCATGGATTGTGGATGAGAAGAAAGATGATGGTTATACTGCCTTGCATCTGGCTGCCCTTAACAATCATGTAGAAGTGGCCGAACTGTTGGTACATCAGGTAGGAAAAGCTGTGCCATAATATTGCCATTCATTCATTTATTACTTCATCAACTACCTGTTGGTAGGTTACAGTAAAACCCCAAGATGATGCAAATTCAGAAATGGTACCTGTTCATTCTTCCTAACACTGGTTCTTAAATGGAGGGTAGTGCTGTGTGTGTGTGTGTGTGTGTGTGTGTGTGTAAGGGGGTGGAGGGTATCCTTTAGCCCTGAGTATTCCCTCCTGCAGTGTTCCTGGGTTGGTCTGATGAAATAGGCATCAACAAACAGAGATTTTCCAGAATCGCTGCCACTGTTGTATAAGTATCCATTAGCCATAAGACCAAGAACCATTATGTTGGTATCTAAGCTTGTGTGGCCAACTGCCATCAGGTAACACCAGGCTGCAGCCAGGATTTGGGGATTCAGGTCATGACCACTGCTAGACTCCTGGAATCTTGGCTGGATAGCAGCACAGGTTCACCTAGGTCATTTCATTCATCTTTGAAATAAGATGACGTTATATTTTTATGAGATTGGATCTTGGGGGAACTTATTTCCTTTAGTTTTATGATGTTTTAGTTTTTCAGCAAAAATTTTAAATACATATGCCATAGAGAAGCACTGAAGTTACCAAAGAATTATCTGTGATCTCTGACTTCAAGGAACTTACAGTCTAAGTTAAGAAGATGAAATAGCAGAAGAATTTAGTAAATTGTTCATTATATGTAATTAGCATCACATTATAGGATAGACACTCCATGAGCTATAGAATTCTAGTTTAGATAAAAAAAGTAGTTCAAAAGTTAAATTTTGTTTTCCCCTGCCATTTTAAGGTATAATTTTTATTATTTTTTTTATTGAAGTATAGTTGACACACAATGTTATGTTAGTTTCAGGTATACAACATAGTGATTTGACAGTTGGAATGCTATTCATTATGCTGTGCTCACCACAAGTGTAGCTGTCCTCTGTCACCATACAATGCTATTACAATACCATTGACTAGGAAGCCTTTATTATTAAGTTACTGCTCTTAGAAGTATTGTTAATTGTGATAATTTCCTTTTCAATCCAAAATACAGATAACGGACATTATACCAATATCACACTATCTTGATTATTGTTTTTTAGTAAGTCTTGAAATCAGTTAAAAGTCCTCCAACTTTGTTCTTTGTTCTTTCTCAGAATTACCTCAATATTTTAGATCTTTTGAATTTTCCTATAAATTTTAGAATCAGATTATTAGTTTCTATTAAAAAGTCTTGGCATTTTGGTTGCTCTGCACATTTTAGATTGATCTTTTTTTTTTGAGATTTATCTTTAAGTAGTTTTTTCATGCTATTATAAATTGTAGTGTTTAAAAGTTCAGTGTCTGATTGTATATTGCAAACATATAGAAATACAGTTTTTTTTGTATGTTGACCTTTATTTCCTGTGATTTTGCTTCAATTACCACAGGTCATTAGGGGATTAGAAATTACGAACACAGTGAAATACTACTAATCTACTACTACTACCTACCAACGAAAATGACGAAAATTAACCAAATGTTGGTTAGGGTGTGGTGCATTTAGAATTCACATACATTGCTGGTGTTTTTCAAAGCAGCCATTTTGAGAACAGTTTGGCAATTCTTAATAAAGTTAAACATGTATTTACTGTACAACCCAGCAGCCCCTCTTCTAGTATGTACCCAAGAGAACATTTCCACACAAATACTTGTACTAAATATTTGTAGCAGCTTTATTTGTAATAACCTCAAACTGGAAGCAAGTCCAATGTTCACGAACTAGAACATAATTCGTCTAGATAAATGAATTATGGTACATCATACAGTGAATACTACTTTGGAAAATCTAATAATGGAAAAGTTCAGGAAACTTAAAAAGAAAATCCCTCACTTTCTGCATTTATGAGAAAAGGCATGATAAGAAAACAAGCTGAGATATAGTTCTTCATGATGACGCCCAGAGAAACATAAATAATAAAGACAAATCAGAAACTCCCATCTTCTAGAATATGTCATAGCATTACTGGAGTTTCAGTTCTACCTAACACCCCAAGCAAGGGCACAGGTGGGGTTTCAAAGTTGTCTTTAGAGGGCATGAATTGTTCAAAGATGTAAACAGAATAATAAAGTTTATCTTCTGAATCTGTAGCCCTTTTCTTAGTTTCATTTTTTAAATTATTATGCAAGTCATTGTATAGGGCAGTTTTACCTGTTATTTTTCTTAATCCTTCCTGGAGGGAAGGAAAATTATTTCTTCCCTTCTAGGTTCTTTGGCTAGTCTAATAATTAAATTGACATGAGATATAACAACAAGAGAAAAACACATTTAATTTTGTACATATGGGAGCTCAGAAAAATATGAGACTATCCAAAGTGACCAAAGCAGGCAGCTTTTATACCTTTTAAACAAACAATTATTTGTGGAGAATTCACAAAGGGGTTTGCGCTTGGGGTAGCAAATAAATAAATAAATGAAGTAACAAAGTTTATTTATATAGTCAGTTCTTGGCCCTTAATTCCTTCTCTGGCAATAAGGATGCCTTCTACCCTCCCAAGTGCAGGGAGGATAGTCTTCACAGAGAATTTATTTCCTGCTTTCAGGGGAACAAAGGAAGGTCAGAGTGTCCTTGCACTGGCTGTTTCTTAAGTAACTTTAATTCAAAATAATCAGTATTCCAAAGTGGAATTATTTTGGGGTAGCCTCCTTGAAGCCCATCATCACAGTGACCCTGGAAATCGGTTGTACTATAACTGTGTTAGAGCCGAGGAAATGAGCATGAAATGGCAGAATCCTTGCTTAAGTTCTTGAAGCTCCAGGTCCCTTGGTGCCAGTGAGTTCAGAATTTTGCTTCTCAGTTCCTTTCCTCTGTCCTTGGCATCAGCTGTTCTCATATAGTGCTTTGACTATCACAGGACCCTGGTAGGACTTTCTGCTTTCCCTTAAGTAAGTATTTTTATGTACTAATTAATTAAACATTGTCTTCTCACCCTCCAGCAAAGTTCCTTTTCACTGAATAAGAACTCAGTCATGCAGTAAGAGTAGGTGACCTTATTAGGTCATTAAAGTAAATCTAAATCCAATAAGAAGACTCACTAATAAAACTTTTTAGGAAATATCATTTACAGTTAAAAGGAACTAATTACCTCTTACTCTATAATGGAGATTGAGATGGAGCTGTGTTTGAGCTCTGTACTGAACTTTGTTCTTTAACTGTTCCTATATGGAGTCACCATAATAAATAATTACTGTAAACGTGCTGTTCTATCTCAGAAAGTTTGCTGCCCCATCCAGTTTTTGCTGTATTGCCAGCAACTGTTACGAGAACAATGTTGCGGTAGCTAGAAGAGAGGAAAGTGGTCAGCAGTGTTCTGTGTTATTTATTCCTCATGAAGAGTTATAGTTTTAGTGTTCACAGTTGTCAAATTTTGAGTATGTAAACTTTGTTCTTCTTGTTCAGGGTAATGCTAACCTGGATATCCAGAATGTGAACCAGCAAACTGCCCTACACCTTGCTGTTGAACGACAGCACACCCAGATTGTGAGGGTAAAGTATTTACTAAAAAGAATCTTACCTTATAGTTGTGTTTTAACCAGACAGATTTCTAGAAAGTCTTGAAAATTATTCATAGTTAGATTTTTCAAAAGGCTTAGTTGGATCTAAAAATTATGATTTTAGGCTAATATTTTGCATCAGTTGGGTAAAGAGTTTTAATTTATAATAGGGAAGATCTTAAAACTGTGATATTCAAAGACTATTGTATAATTGTTGCCAGACTTGTGACTCCCAAAATATTAAATCAGAGAATTTCAAAGTAACATATAAATTGGTTTTTTAAAAGTACATTCCCTCTTAATTTGTATAATTGAGAGTGAAGTATAATTAAAAGCTTAGGCTGGACGTTTGCTGCACAGATTCCAAAAAAGCTGAAATATGTATTTTTATTTGACTAATCTGATATTCCAGAGAAAATATTTGAAAGATTATCGGTTTAAAATTTTTTTGTAGAGCAGTGATTCTTAAAGTTTAGAAGCTGAACCAGCAGCATCAGCATCACCTGGGACCTTGGTAGAAAATTCTTGGGCCCCACCTCAGACCGACCAAATCAGAACCTCCAGGGGTGGGAACTAGCAATCTGTGGTTTAACAAGTCCTCCAGGTAATTCTCATGCATGTTCAAATTTGAGAAACACTGTCCTAGAGTGACATTTTATGTAAGCTTTTGGGAACAAAGTAAAAAAAAACAAAAACAAAAAAAACCACCACCGAAAAACGGTAATTTGCCAAGAGAGGTAAGACCATATGCTTGAGATTGGCTTCTGTTTATGGTGTTTTTCTAAAACTCTGACAGCATTTATAGAAAGGATTAGGAAAATCAGTAAAGCACCATAAGTAAAGTCTTAAATATAAAGTTATATCTACTATTTAAAATATCTTTGAGGTGTATCAATTATGCATTTTATATAAGAGGTTGTAGTTTAGCAAACCCTTCACATTTATTGTTATATAAAATTCCTCTTGCTCAAACTGAGGGTTGCTGGAGGGGAGGGGGCGTGGAGGGGTGGGGTAACTGGGTGATGGACATTAAGGAAGGCACATGATATAATGAGCACTGGGTATTATATGACTGATGAATCACAGACCTGTACCTCTGAAACCAATAATACATTATATGTTAATTAATTGAATTAAAATTAAAAAAAATTTAAATACTAAAAAAATTTCCTCTTGCTAAAAATTCTTCATTTATCTGTGATATTTGGACTTTTTATGGCTGTACATTTGGAAAAATTGACCAAAGAGAATGGAATAAATAACTTGCTTGTTTCTTCAAGTAATAGAAGAATTGCAAACATTTATGATTTGGTCCTATTGGAAGTACTTAAAATATCCCAACTTGCATATCTGACTCAAAGGAGAAGAAGGGGGCACATGGCTGGCTCAGTCGGTAGAACGTGCAACTCTTGATCTTGGGGTTGTGAGTTTGAGCCCCACAGTGGGTGTAGAGATTACTTGACAAAATCTTTTTTATTTTTAAAGATTTATTTATTTGGGAGAAAGCGAGAGCGTGAGCAGGGTGGGTAGGGGCCAGGGGAGAGGGAGGGAGAGTCCTAAGCAGTCTGGGCATGGAGCCCAATGCGGAGCTCGATCTCATGATCCTGAGATCACAACCTGAGCTGAAACCAAGAGTTGGATGCTCAACTGACTGTGCCACTGAGGCGCCCCGAAAAAATAAAATAATTAAAAAAGTAAAAGGAGAAAAAAATGTCCTAAATTTCTCCCACTTATCTTGTTCTTAGAGTTGATGAATTAAGCCACATACTGGTTCTCATTTCTTTATGTTTTCTCTGATTTGATATATTTGAGTAACCAGAGCTCATCACTATTTGTAAAGGAGCCACAGGAGTTTTAAGAGTAGCAAATGAATATATAAAGATAATTAGCTTTAGTGGCGATCCCTTCAGGTAGGTCCAGGGCTCTGTCACTGTTACTTGATCTTATTTTATTTTATTTTGTTATTAATTAACATACAGTATATTATTAGTTTCAGGGGTAGAGGTCAGTGATTCATCAGTTGCAAATAACACCCAGTGCTCATTCCATCACATGCCCTTCTTAATGCCCTTCACCCAGTTACCCCATCCTGCCATCTCCCTCCCTTCCAACAACCCTCAGTTTGTTTCCTATAGTTGAGTCTCTTACAGTGTCTCCCTCTCTGATTTTGTCTGTGTTACTTTAGATATGTAGTAATTTCTTATGGGCCAGAGAGACCTTAGCAAAATGAGATGTCTTTCTCTTTTAGCTTCTGGTCCGTGCAGGTGCCAAATTAGATATTCAGGATAAGGATGGGGACACTCCTTTGCACGAAGCTCTGAGGCATCACACCTTGTCTCAGCTGCGTCAGCTCCAAGATATGCAAGATGTGGGGAAGGTCGATGCTGCATGGGAGCCATCCAAAAACACAGTGAGTAAATTAATCTTTAATTTGGTACTACTGGAAGTATCTTTTAATGCAAGATCTTGTATTTTCGGTTAATTCAATCTGTTTCTCATAAAATATCACAGCTGCATATATGTAGAATTTAGTTTATGGACTAATAGTTAATTCTGACTATATTGCTTCAAATTCTTACTGAAAGTTGTTTGGTTCTTTTTTAACTTTAGCCATTCATATGGGTGTGTAGTGGTATGTTGGGGTTTTGATTTGCATTTCTCTAATGACCACTGATAATTTTTTTCTAATTATTTATTTGTTTGTTTATTTTTGAGAGAGAGCAAGAGCACAAATACAAGCAGGGGGAGGGGCAGTGGGTGAAGCAGATTGAGCAGGGAGCCTGATGCGGGACTTGATCTCAGGACCCTGGGATCATGACCCAAGCCAAAGGAGATGCTTAATGGACTGAGCCACCCAGGCACCCTGATTTTTTTTTTTTTAAAGATTTTATTTATTTAGTTGAGAGAGAGTGAGTTAGAGAGAGAGAAAACACAAATGGGGGAGGAGCAGAGCGAGAGGGAGAAGCAGATTTCCTGCTGAGTAGGGAGCGCAATGTGGGGCTTGATCCCGGGACTCTGGGATCATGACCTGAGTGTAAGGCAGACACTTAACCGACTGAGCCACCCAGGCACCCCAGTGACTACTGAAATTGAACATCTTTTCATTTGCTTGTTTGTCACTTACATATATTTGATGAAGTGTCTATTCACATTTTTTGTGCATTGTTTTGTTGAGCTGTTTTCTTACTATTGAGTTTTGAGAGTCTGAATTCAAGTTCTGTATCAGATATGGGACTTGCACATATTTTCTCCCCACCTGTGGCTTGTCTTTTCATTCTTGCAGTAGTGTTTTTGGAAGAGCAAAAGTTGAGGGATGCCTGGGTGGCTCAGTCCGTTAAGCGTCTGCCTTTGGCTCAGGTCATGATCCCAGGGTTCCGGGATCGAGTCCTGCTTCTGCCTCTCTCTGCTGCTCCCCCTGCTTGTGCTCCCTCTGTCTCTCTGACAAGTAATAAAATCTTTAAGGGGCGCCTGGGTGGCTTAGTCATTAAGCGTCTGCCTTCGGCTCAGGTCATGATCCCAGGGTCCTGGGATTGAGCCGCACATCGGGCTCCCTGCTCAGCCAGGAGCCTGCTTCTCCCTCTCCCACTCCCCCTGCTTGTGTTCCTGCTCTCGCTCTCTCTCTCTCTGTCAAATAAATAAATAAAATCTTAAAAAAAAAAAAAAAGGAACAGGGCACCTGGGTGGCTCAGTTGGTTAAGCGACTGCCTTCGGCTCAGGTCATGATCCTGGAGTCCCGGAATCGAGTCCCACATCGGGCTCCCTGCTCAGCGGGGAGTCTGCTTCTCCCTCTGACCCTCCCCCCTCTCGTGTGCTCTCTCTCTCTCTCTCTCTGTCTCATTCTCTCTGTCTCAAATAAAAAAAAAAAATCTGTAAAAAAAAAAAAAAAGGAAGAGCAAAAGTTTTTAATTTTGATGAAGTCTAATTTATAAATTTTTCTCTCATTGTGCTTTTTGTGTCCTATCTGAAAAATCTTTGCCAAACCCAGGGTCACGAAGGTTTTCTCTTTTGTACTAGAAGTTTATTAAGTTTTAGCTGTTACATTTAGGACTATGATTCTTTTTTTTTTTAATTTGAATTCAAGTTAGTTAACATATAGTATATTACTAATTTCAGAGTAGAATTTAGTGATTCATCAGTTGCAAATAACACCCAGTGCTCATTCCATCAAGTGCCTCCTTAATGCCCGTCACACGTTTATCCCATCCCTCCACTCCCTTCCCCTCCAGCGACCCTCAGTTTGTTCTCTATAGTTTAAGAGTCTCTTATAGTTTGTCTCCCTATTTTTAGCCTATTTTATTTTTCCTTCCCTGACCTATGTTCATCAGTTTTGTTTCTTAAATTCCACATATGAGTAAAATCATACGGTATTTGTCTTTCTCTGACTTACTTATTTCGCTTAGCATAATACACTCTAGTTCCATCCAAGTTGTTGCAAGTGGCAAGGTTTCATTCCTTTTGATGGCTTGGTAATATTCCATCGTGTGTGTGTGTGTGTGTGTATACACACACACTGTATCTTCTTTATCCATTTGTCTGTCGATGGACGTCTGGGCTCTTTCCATAGTTTGGCTATTGTGGACACTGCTGCTATAAACTTTGGGGTGCATGTTCCCCTTCGAATCACCTTTGGATAGATACCTAGTAGTGCAATTGCTGGGTTGTAGGGTAGTTCTATTTTTAGCTTTTTGAGGGACCTCTAAACTGTCCTTCAGAGTGGCTGCACTAGTTTGCATTCCCACCAACAGTGTAGGAGGGTTCCCCCTTCTGCATCCTTATCAACATGTATTGTTTCCTGAGTTGTTAATTTTAGCCAATCTGACCAGTGTGAGGTGGTATCTCATTGTGGTTTTGATTTGTATTTCTCTGCTGATGACTGATACTGAGCATTTTTTCATATGTCGGCTAGCCATTTGTATGTCTTCTTTGGAGAAATGTCTGTTCTTCTGCCCATTTCTTCGCTGGATTTTTTGTTTTTTGGGTGTTGAGTTTGATGAGTTCTTTATAGATTTTAGGTACTACCCCTTTATCTGATATGTTATTTGCAAATATTTTCTCCCATTGCGTGGGTTGCCTTTTAGTATTGTTGATTGTTTCCTTTGCTGTGCAAAAGCTTTTTGTCCTGGTGAAGTCCCATTAGTTCATTTTTGCCTTTATTTGCCTTGCCTCTGGAGATGTGTCTAACAAGAAGTTGCCGAGGTCAAAGAGGTTGCTGCCTGTGTTTCTCTTCTAGGATTTTGATGGATTTCTGTCTCATATTTAGGTCTTTCATTGTACTATGACTCATTTTGAGTTAATTTTTAAGTATAGTATGAAGTATCAGAGTTCATTGTTTTGCATGTGAATGTTCCAGTTATTCCACCACCATTTGTTGAAAAGACTTTTTCTGCTGAATTGTCTGTTGTGCCTTTATCCCAACTCAGTTAACCATATATGTGAGTCTTTCTGGATCCTGTATTCTGTTCTGTTGATCTGTGTCTTTAGCTATGTGATGCCAACCCTACTGTCTTGATTACTGTAGCTTTATAATAATTATTCAACTCAGGTAGTAAAAGACTTCCAACTTTTTCTTTTTTTTTCAAAGTTGTTTGACTATTCTAAAGTCTTTCACCGTTCCGTATGAATTTTAGAATCATTTTTAAGTATGTGAAGAGGTTCTGAGACCAAAGTGTTTGAGAATTGCTGCCTTTCCATATGATCATTGGTAAATTCTCTAAACTCTTGTGTGCCTCCTTTCTCATTTTATTTTATTTTTTTAAAGATTTATTTATTTGTCAGAGAGAGAAAACAGCAGGCAGAGGGGGAAGCAGGCTCCCCGCTGAGCAAGGAGCCCAATGCAGGGCTCGATCCCAGGACCCTGGGATCATGACCTGAGCCGAAGGCAGACGTTTAACCGACTGAGCCACCCAGGCATCCCTCCTCATTTTAAAAAGGAAGGGATGGAATAATTACCTCCATAAGGTTGTTGTAAAGATTAAATGAGTTAATTCCTGGAAAGTGCTAAAAATAGTATTTGGTCCATTGTAGGTGCTCTACAGATATTTGATAACATGTTTGAATGAGTAGCTCATATGATATCAGAACCTGATTTATCTCCTTCTCCATTTCTTGGCTCAGTTCGTTGGTGTTGGTTCTTTTCTCTGTTGTCTCTCCTCTTACTATTTCATGTTGGTTGCCAGCAGTTCCAGAGCTACATTGGTTTGGGGACAACTATTTCCTCAGTATGTCAATCAGAAGTCCCGTTCTTGAGTTTTATTGGCCGAATTGACCTGATTTGTCATCCCTGAACTAATCACATAGATGAGGTGGATATCTGACTCTCAGCCTTCTTTGGTCCACCTGTAGCAGTAGAGAGTGGGTCAGTCCTCAAACTACACCTGAGAAAACTGGAGTGAAGGGGGGGAATGGATGTTAGGACTGCAACTCATAAATGCCCACCATGTCTATATAGGCCATAAGTTCTTTCCAGACGTGTATTTTTATATAATACACACAGACTTGCACACACACACACATTTGGTGGTAAGAATTGATAACAGATTCCTAAGGGGAAAATCATGACTCTTTTCATTTGATTTCAGTTAATAATGGGACTTGGTACCCAGGGGGCGGAGAAGAAGAGTGCAGCATCGATTGCCTGTTTTTTGGCTGCCAATGGCGCTGACCTTAGCATTCGAAATAAGAAAGGTCAATCGCCGCTTGATCTCTGTCCTGATCCAAGTCTCTGCAAAGCACTGGCCAAGTGTCATAAGGAAAAAGTCAGGTTTGTATCATTTATTATCATAAAACAGTATTCTCTCTATATATAGAGTACCATGTGGTTTCATAATGGAGGACTTGATTACTTGAAAATGTTTTTGTCTTTTCTCATCATCTTTGTGCTGACCCTTTTTTCCTTAAAAATTTTCCTGCAGACACTGTGTCTCTTATTTCATGTTGTATTCTCTACATAACCGAATATGACGCTTTATGCATAATAAGCGCTAAGAAACTTTTCTAAACCAGTCTGATCTTCCAGTACTCCTACATGTTAGAGAAATTTATCTATAAGAAAATGTCTTGCTAGTGAAATTACTGTGATTAATGTTAGATGTATTTAAATTTTTAATAGACTTTTTTAGGAGAGGCAGTTTACATGCTCACCAGTAAGGTGTATCTCACACAAATGCGGTAATAATTCTAACACCCTGCATAGTGCCTGACAGGCACTCACCAAGTATCACTGAAGGACTGAAAGAATTTGAAAGAATGAATACATGAAGGAACCAATTCCTGATGGAGTTGTCTCTAAAAATGATTTCATACTTGTCTTCTTTTCTAAAAGTAAAATATACCAGTGATTTTAATTATTATTTATAATGCAACTGATTTTCTTATTATGAGATATTGTAGACATACAAAAAGGTATATTTCATTACTTTTTTTATCCAGATGGTGCTGTGCAATTATTATTGCCCTTTATTTATATCGGGTTCTTGTCATTGATCATTTCAGTAGTTGTCCCTTGATCTTTGTGTTCTCTTGCCTTTTATAATTTAGGTGTAGTGATAAATGACTTCCCTTTGGAATCCATACCTTAGAGCTGTGTTAATGGGGAAATTAATGTAATGAGGTATATACATTTAAGTGTATCCTTAAGGAACATAAAATTCTGTTACAAAATGACAGTGTGCATCTAAAAATATAGAAGGCACTATAATTACTGCAGTAATAACTTTAACACTGGTGTCTAAGATGAAACCGCTTTGTGTGTGCATACACGTTCATAAGTTTCTGAAGATTGTGGTAGAAACAGAGTATCCCCTTTCCTATAGCTGTAGTTGGTCATTTTTATGTATTTCTGTGTCTTGTATCTATATATTTATAGATGAGTTCTGTCTTTCTATAGTACAAATTTATGCTCCTTAAGGATACATTGAAAGAAATGTCAAAACAGCAGCTGCAATGACATATTTTCCACAGTGCCCTGTCAGTTGTGGACTCTGGTGATGCTTCATTCTGTCTGTAGTTAGGGTAACTAACGTGGGCTCTAGCTAGAATTTTTGTTTTATTCCTCTGCCCTTCTCTGCTGGTTCTGTATAGATGAAACAGAGTCTGAGTGAAACTGTGTTCATGTTAAATTTTTTGTGAGTAGTGTTTTTGATTTCTTTGTTTGAAGATTCACCCTTTTCTGTTGGGTGAGCTATTTGTTCAATTTGAAATTTACATAGTATTAGAAGTACGTAAAGATGCAGAGATGTATATAAATGGAAAAATATAGTATGTTTCTTATACAGATAATTACAGCTTAATTTTCTTAACATAACTAAAGCTGTTTTTCTGTATACTAATGATGCTCTTGATATTTTTAAAAGCATTTTAATTAATGAAGTAATATAAATATTCTGATAGGATTGATTATAAATGTTTTCTTTTATTAGTGGTCAAGTAGGTTCTCGAAGTCCTTCTATGATTAATAATGATTCTGAAACCTTAGAAGAGTGCATGGTGTGCTCAGATATGAAGAGAGATACTCTTTTTGGCCCATGTGGACATATTGCTACCTGTTCTTTATGTTCTCCGCGAGTCAAGAAATGCCTCATCTGTAAAGAACAAGTTCAGTCCAGGACAAAGGTAATATACTTTTAATACAGTTTTTTATCATTTTATGAAGTTCTTTCAGACTATAAATAATGATAAGATTATATGATGCCATATGTCTGTTAAATTTCGGTCTAAGAGTGATTTAAATATAAGAATGTATAATTTATTTATATATTTATCAAGAGAACAATTTTGAGTTTCCTTCTTTAAATGTAAACTATAGAAGTTAAAAAAAATTGATCTACTATTTTGCTTTCAAAGCCTCTTATAACCTAGAGATGTATTTAATTCCATTTTCATTGTAGTTTCTTATATTTTGCACCTTTCTTGAATACGTGGACCCTCATATTCATCTTTATAATAAAGATCACTTGATTTTTCTTTTTTTTTTGGTAGAATGTCACACATTCTGGATTTGTTTTATTATGGTGTTGTTTAATTTGTTTCTTTATCCTCTGTGTTTCCTGTAAACTGGAAGTTAGATCCAATGGCTTGATTAGAGTCAGCTTAAACATTTTTGGCAAGAAATTCTCACAGATGATGCTACCCACTTTGTACTGTGTCCCACCAAGAAGCGAATAAAGTCTGATCATCATCCTGCTGTTAGTGAAGGCCAAATTCTGTATCCACTCTGAACTTTTTTATCTTGTCTGACTCTTGGCTTTTTGAGAAGTACTATTCTTTCCTTGGTTTCTGGTCTCATTCTTTTTCTGTGTAACTTAGTGCTTTATCGGAACTGTACCGTCTTATTCATTCTGGTTGTACTGAAATAACTGGTTTTCCTTTTTAGTTTTTCCATATGTGTGTGTAACGTGAGCTTTAAGTTTCTTACAAATGATTTCTCTTAAGGTGAGTGGCTTAAACCAAAAGATATGTTTGGTTTTCTTTGGCTTCATTTATGGAGTTTATACTCTATTTTCATTCCCTTCTTTTTATTCTCATTTTCCCCTGATGTTTCTTAAGCTATTCATTTACCTTCATTAATTAGAAAGGAGCTGGCACTAATTCTTATAATAAATTAGCTGGCAGTGACTTAAAAGTTGTTACCTTGCCAGTGCTTTGTACATTTTCATAGGGAACGTTCTAAGACTGGAAGACTGTTCCTTCTAAGCAACAGCTTGGGAACAAATCTGAAAGAATTTAAGCCATTTTCTTATTTTTAGATTGATCTGTGTATTCTGCTGTTGTGCTTGAAACTTTTTGTGTTGGATTAAGCCCTATTTCAACAAATCTTTATTGAGCACTTGTTTTGCAGTGAAGACAGAGGTGTATATGATAATTTCCAACTAAAAAATTATAACCTGCTGGCAAACTGTGACTTAGATTTAAAGCTACTCTGCCATATAGGATGTTGTAGGTGCTTTAAGAGAGATATAAAGTGAGTTCAGAGCCTCAGGTTACCTGCCGGAAGCAGAGTCTCAGATACAGAATAGCCCTCACTGGTCTTCTAGTCCAACTCTAGGATTCACAGTTGAAAAAACTGAAGCCCAGAGAAGTTTACTCAGCGTATCAAACACAGGTCTCTTAATCTTAAGTCCTTGTTCTTTCCCCTGTGTGATGATACACAGACACAATTAAAGAAGTCTTCAGAGGGAAGATTGATGGAACCGGGAGGTAGAGAGGGAGGAGTATGCCGTCATTTCGTTTTAGACCACTTTTGAATTCCAAGAATTAGTAGACTGTCAGGTTGACTTTCAGATTAAGAAATTTTCAAACCTGTAGAAAAGTACAAAAAGTAACATACCCACCAAATAAATTTGCCAGGTTAGCTGCAGAGCCTTTGAATATAAAGAAATAGTGACCCCAAGTGGTTAAAGGATAATGAACATCTTCATTAAAGATAAAGCAAATTATAAAACTAGTATTTAGAGGAAGGGGGAATAAACAAGCTTTGTCTCTTTAGCAGTTAAAGAAATGTAAATTAAAAATTATGAATTGCCATTAACCGTTCCTATCAAATTAGCATAAATTTTAAAAATGCTAGCCAGGAAAGTGGAAAATGGACACTCTCTTAAACACTGCTGGAGGTTGAATAAATGGATTCATGTTTTTGAGAGACCATCCTGACAATATTTATGAGCCTTTACGATAAACATGCTCTTATTTAGTAATTCCATTCTTGGGAATATAACCTGAGGAAAAAACTCCAAAGGGGAAAAAAAGTTAAGGCTATAAAGATTTTTTTCACTTATATATTAGGGGATTTGGTAAGTAAATGATTGCTTAATCAATTTGCTAGATTATTTTAAACTCTTTATGAACAATTCAGATGTATAAACAGTTGCAGTGGAAATCTTTTAAAGAAATAGCACATCATTATATAGGGAAGAAAAGAGAATTTATCATGCATTGGACACTGATGTTATATTAGGCATTGAACTAAACACTCCAGGCATAATATCTGATCTACCCTTTACTACCCTGTGAAGAAAGGTTGTTCTTTATCATTCAGGTAAAAAGAGCTGTGGCTCAACAATGTTAGATAATTTGTAATTATTGGAGCTGCAGTTTGAATCCAGGAATATAAAGGTCTCGACCCACCATGTCTTACTGCTTTCCCCTGTTACTCAACTACAGAAATTCTGTGTACATAGCAAGGTATAAGTTGGGAGAGTCCATAGAGAGCATGTGTGCAATATTTGGTCAGTTAGGTGAAGTTATAGGTGACTGGTGGTCATCATTTTTGGACAGTAATATTAAGTGGCACAGATATGGGTAAATGTGAATGTGTGTCAGAAGAGAGGAGAACAGGTGATAGATGGATGCAAAGCAAGGGCAGTGGGATGGGTGGGGGTGGAAAAGCCAAGAGCCAGGTTAAGAAGTAGCTACGCACTCAAAACTCAGATCAAGTGGAGATGAAGAGGAGGTAAAATTGAGGGAAATTATGAATAGGTTGTGGAAGACTTGTGGCTTTAGAGATTAGGGAGAAAGAATAGCCCAAAGCCTTGAGCTCCCCACCGGTGTGGGGGAACTGACCAAGTCCTGGAAAAGTTCCTCTGATGTGGATAAACAGAAAAATTCCACTTGGGCTCTAGCAATCTACTAATCTGGCTGGGTTTTTATTAATATTAGAAATCTAGCTTATCTTATATTTATTTTTATACTTCTTTGTTTTTAAAATTTTTCTGTCACAAAGTAGTTTTTGAAAAAAAATTAAAGTCTATTTTGGTCTTTCTGACCACAGAGGAAATGGAGTTTTTTTAAATCATTCTACTAACATGGTAGTAGAACCTGTGAAGGGCCAGGGTATATAAAGGTAAAAAAAATGAGTAACCAAGAGAGTAGAGAACAGAGGAGGAGTGCATATTAAGTTTCCTGTGCTGGGAGTGTTGCCTTATAGAGGAAATACGCTTGGATACAAAAGGAACTGTTAGAGTTAGGAGATTTATCTATAGATGTTCACACTTGTGCTATAACCTCTTTTTTTGTAGATTGAAGAATGTGTGGTATGCTCTGACAAGAAAGCAGCTGTTCTTTTTCAGCCTTGTGGACACATGTGTGCTTGTGAGAGTAAGTAGCCTATACAAAACTGACTCAGTGTTTTTATAAAAATAGAAAATAAAACAAATTATAGCTGGAGGTTTTTTTTTTTCAGTAACCCACGAACAAAAACATTGGTGGCCCTCTCTCGTACCTTCCATTTCTTCTTATGTACTATGTATAATGTCACCTATGTCCCTCCTTGCTCCTGAGTATTAAAGACAGAATAAATTATGTTCTACCAACTCACGTTTTAATTAATTTGTATCAGCACAAAATGATCTCTTCTCACACACAATAGAAATTTATTTCCAAAAATGACTTTTGAAACATTTAGTCTAGCCCTTTTTACATAATAAAATCAGCACATCTTCATTTGTCTTCACCTTGATATTGCCTCTCCTGCATACTTTCCCCGCTACTGAACCACCCACAGCAGCCATTTGGGGCTATAATGTCTGGCCTTCTTAACCCTTCTTAATCTTTATGTCAAAAGAGCTTATAGGACTTTCTGGGAGAATATATTAGAGTTCAAGTGATGTTTTAAATATTTCTTAAACATATTCCTTCAAAGGCCTTTGCTTTTATACCTCCCCTTGTTCTTTTCAAATTCATGTACTATTCAACATTCTCCTCTTCCTTTGTTTTCATTTGTCAGTGAAGGATTTTAAGCAAGTTTAACAACTTACACCTTACTTAAATGGGCTCAAGATAAAGCATGATGTTTCCTATTTTAAATTGTTCAAGGGGCACCTGGGTGGCTCAGTTGGTTAAGCGTCTGCCTTCAGCTCAGGTCATGATCTTGGGGTTCTGCTCGGTGGGGAGGCTCCCTGCTCACTGAGGAGTCTGCTTCTCTCTTACCCTCTGTCCCTCGCCCCAACTCCCCGCTCATGCTCTCTCTCTCAAATAAAATTTTTTTCTGATTTATTTATTTATTTTTAATTTTATTGTTATGTTAATCACCATACATTACATCATTAGTTTTTGATTTAGTGTTCCATGATTCATTGTTTGTGCATAACACCCAGCGTTCCATTCAACACATGCCCTCTTTAATACCCATCACCAGGCTAACCCATCCCCCCACCCCCCTCCCCTCTAGAACCCTCAGTTTGTTTTTCAGAGTCCATCATCTCTCATGGTTCATCTCCCCCTCCGACTTCAAATAAAATTTTTAAAAAAATAGTTCAGTCAGTAGGTACTGATTTTCAATATAATATCTAATACACAAATTGTATGATAGATTAATCTCACTGGCATAGATTTGCTTTAAGCCTTGGTGGTTTTTCATTCTGATAGGCAGCTCATCGACTAAAGAAAGGATCAAGGTTTCCTCCTGTAACATTCTCAAGTAATCGTTTTTGTTTTCCAAAGACTAGTATAATGGCTATTATCAACTGTAAGAGGGCTTGTGGATTTCTGATTTAAGTAAAAAGAGCTCAGGTTACTTAAGTTTCCATAGTCTAGGGGCTAGCAAATTTTTTCTGTAAAGAGTCAAATAATAAATATTTTTGACTCTGTGGGCCATGTGGTTTCTGTAGTAACTACTTAAAACTCTTTCCTATTACTTACCTCTGCCGTTATAGTGCAAAAACCACCATAGACAGTATGTCTACGAATAGGCAGGATTGATTTCATTAACACTTTATTTACAAAAACAGGTACCTGGGGGCGCCTGGGTGGCTCAGTCTGTTAAGCATCTGACTCTTGATCTCAGCTCAGGTCTTGATCTCAGGATTGTGAGATCAAGGACTGCACGTTGGGTGTGGAGCCTACGTTTAAAAAAAAAAAAAAAAGTGAGCAAAAACAGGCACCTGGTTGGGTTTGGCCTGGAGGCTTAGTTTGCTGACCCCTGTCCTGGACCTACAGAGACTTGAAAGCTGGTTATAATGAGTAGTTGATAATACGGATTTTCAAGCCTTACTGCAGTACTTTCTCCAGAGTTTCCCAAAGTTTTTACATTGTTTTTGCATTCACATGTAACAAGAGTAGCAACTAACTTTTATTAAGCTCTTACCTCGTACCAGACATTTTTTTTTAAGGGAGAGAGAGAGCGTGAGCACCAGGGGAGGGGCCGAGGGAGAGAGAGAATCTTAAGCAGTCTCCACACCTAGCATGGAGCCGGACGTGGGGGCTTGATCTCACGACCCTGAGATCATGACCTGAGTCAAAATCAAGATTCGGACCCTTAACCCACTGAGCCACCCAGGTGCCCCAGACATTTTAATCTCTTTTAGAGTGTTGCCTCATTTATCTTCACAACAACCCTAAGAAGTAGATTGTTTTCTCCATCGTACAGACACATTGTTAAGCATTTATTTGCTAGGGAAGATGAAATTGAGGTGGAAAATGCCTTTCTCTCAAGGAATGGACTGTGAAGCACTTAGTCCATTACCTATATCCCAGTAATATTAAGCAGAGTATTGGAACCTTGACGAGTATAAAATAGTGCCTTGACAGGCCAGAAGAAGGAGAGATTGTATCTGTTTTGGAGGGAAGGAAGAAACATTTTATAGAAGCAGTGTAACAACCTAACTTAATAATTAAAAGAATTTGAGATATTTGTGGTTATATATTATACAGTGAGACACTTAAATTAATCCTTTAAATTTAAGAAAAAAATCTGCCCTCAGATTTAAGACAAATCCCAAATGAGATTTCTACTAGCATTAGCTCCTACCTAGTGCATCATGCATAAGCCAGCATCAGGCCCATCTCTGTTTAGGCCTTGACATGAGGTCGGCCTTGAGAACCCTTCTCTGTCCACTGGCATAAGCACCATTGAGTATGTGCCCTGTCTTGTCCATGTCAGTGGTTTTGTGCTTTGTTAAAGTTTAGTGCCTGATCATAAATTATCCCTGGATATTTGTCACAGTTGTCATTTATTTTCCATGTTTTTGAAATGATAAAGACACTTGGTACATAGACTAAGATATGGAATATACTTTCATAGTAAATGCTAATGGGAAAGGATATATTGAAGAGCTGTATGTTATTTTGTAATTAATTAACAACTTTAGATGTAGAATTAACAATCCACAACCTGTAATTGTGCCTAGGCATTTCTTCTTTGGGATGGGAGAGCATTCCTCTGATATATAAATATTAGAAAGTCCATTATGACACCTCTCTGATGTTTTCTTGACTGCTATATTAGAAAATTAGTTACTAAACAGTGTCCTTATTATAGTACATCAGTTTGCTAGAAAGAGAAGGAAGAGAATTCTCCAGCATATTTTAGGAATTTTAAGGATAAGCTATTTACAATAGAAAGTACATTTAGAAAATTATGTGAGTAACCTTTTAATTCTATATTAGTTGAAACTTCTGAAAAGTATATTTCTCCTTTATTCTCAAGCCTTAAGATCTTGAAATATTTTTAATTAAAAAAAAAACAGAAAAATCCCTTTCACAATTTATTCTACTGTATTAGAAAACGTCATTATTTTCATAACAATGGGCTCTCTCTTCTAGAGGCTGCCTATGGAGAATACACATTCATAGGTCGATAACATTTTAAGAAGGTAGAATCGTGTATTCATAGAACTTGTTTAATGTTTATTTCAGTGTGTGATTTAAGTTATAAAAATGAGCAGAGAAGGGCAATCCTCTTGTTTGTGTTGTCTCTTGTGAGAAGGATCCGATTGCTCTTTTGCAGACTGCGCTAGTCTGATGAAGAAGTGTGTGCAGTGTCGGGCAGTAGTTGAACGAAGAGTGCCTTTCATTATGTGTTGTGGAGGGAAAAGTTCCGAAGATGCCACTGATGACAGCTGTGAGTGTATTTTTTTGAGCTTTTCTTACTTTGTTTTTCTTGTTGGGACTTGAAAGTGCTGAAGATCTCGTCTCATGTGTAGTAAAGCATAGGGTATGTGACCCAAATCTACAGAGGAACAGGTGGGGTTTGCTCTTGTTACAGGAAACTTGAAATTATATTTTTCTAGCTTACACTAGGATTATAGAACTTGAAGCATTTGTCTTTTAAGAAACCTCCATGTATGACATAAAGAAAATTGTTGTACTCTTGCTTAAAGAAACAGCATATTACAAATTATTTTTTCAGTTACGCAAGTATTAACGCCTCATTCCTTTGTGTAGCAGGTTTTATCTAATGCATGTCAGTATTTTACAGAATAGTATTTATTTGGGACAGAGTAACTATAGATAATACTGAAGTATAACTCAGTGACGAAGTGGAAAGATGAAAAGTAAATGATTTACTTTCAACTTTTTTAATCCTATAGCTGTATAAAATATTTTTCATCTTTGCACTAGATATAAGCTTAGATGGTATCTTTGATTTCTTTGCTCTGTGTACACATGAGGAAGAACATTAGTGTTACCATTTTTGCCCAGGGCTTTTTGTCTTTATCACCAATAGAGTAGAATAAAGATCCCAGGGACAAATAAACTAGAGTTAAAAGAGTAAAAATCCAGAGAGTAGTAAAAGTTGACATAAAAAATTTCCCTCCGTTTAGCAGACCCAGTGATCACAGCTTTTAGTTTATGGAGTTCCTCATCTCGGATCGGTAACAAGGAGGGTTGGGCAGAGGGGAAGGAGCCTAGGTTTTTGTGTATTCTCATAAACATCATCTAAGAGACTTTATGATTATTGCTGCCAAAACTGGCTAAAAAGTGCTGTGCTGCCTACATTCTTGGGTTCGTACAATGCGGGAGCAGAGAAAACAAGCATAAAATGTATTTGTGAGCTTGCCAAAGGAAGCAAGTAGTACCTCAGAAAACCTAAAAGTCTGTGTGTAGATTGTTGTCTAGCCGAGTTAAATATAATTAGATAATAATGTGCAAAACTATTTCCTTCTGAACATTATAAATGAAGGAATATAATACGAATGTCGCTGCTATGTCTATTGTCCATGAATGAGAAAAATTTTTAAAGAGGATTCTAGTAGTAGTCTTGCATTTTTAATAAAGCCATAGTAATTTTAGAAATGAAAAATCATTATTATGTCAAAACAATCATAACGTTAAAATACTTTATTTACATTATAGCAAGTGGAAATATTCCAGTGTTACAAAAGGACAAGGATAATACCAATGTCAATGCAGATGTGCAAAAGTTGCAACAGCAGTTACAGGACATTAAAGAGCAGGTAATAATGATTTCTTCTTGGGAAATGATGATTCTAAGAATGGCATTTAATATTTTTCTATAAGACTACTAGTGTTTTATGTAGTAATCGTGGTTCATATTAGGGTATCAATTGTAGTATTTGAATATTTGCAAAAGGTAATATGATTCAAAGATCTAATCAGGCACTTTCCAAAATAAACACACAGATGACCAATTAAACATGAAAAATGCTCAACCAGGTTAGTAATCAAGAAATGAAAATTAGGGTGCCTGGCTGGCTCAGTCAGTAGAGCATGTGACTCTTGATCTTGGGGTCATGAGTTTGGGCCCCGCTTTGGGCATAGCACTTACATTAAAAAAAGAAGAAATGAAAATTAAAACTACAGTTTGGTGCCTTTTCCCACCTACCTGACTGCATGGAAAACTCAGTGTTAGAATATGTAGCAGCCGTAACTCACATAATACTGATGGGAATATAAATTAGTAAAAACACTTTGGAAAAGTTTGTCGTCATAATCATATAACTAAACAGGATATTGTTTGGGGATGCAAACTAGGAAAAAATTGTACAGATGTTGTTTAAAACCAGGGGTAGTGGTTTTCTTGGCTGGGATGACCGGAAGGGAGCACAAGGGACGTTTCTTTATAGGGAAATATATAAAGTGCCGATTACATACATCTGATCAGTTTGTGAACTTTTATCAAACTGTACATTTATGATTTGTACACATTTCTGTATAGATGTGATACTTAGGTAGAAAGTAGAATATATATTCTCTCTCACTCCCTCACACACACACCATAAAGAAAAGCAAAAGAAAGAAAAATGCAATATTTAGAACAGTAGGTATCAGTGAGGGGTAGATGGAAAGGATTTGGGAGGATGTATGGAGCGGCTTCAAAAGAAAGGATAGCATTCCATCCTTTAAACTTGTTCTTCGTATCTTATACATGCCAACAGAAGTACTCTTTTATCTACTCCATATTTAATAGCAGCAACAGTAGAATAAAGAAGTTAGTTAAAACTTATTACGTATGTGGTAAGTAAGAAAGTCTGTCTGCCACCCCCCCCTTTATCATTTGACCCAGCAGTTAAATCGGATCCAAAGGATTGAGAAGCAGAGGGTGTTATTTCTTTAGTTTGGGTATCACATCAGTGTTGCCATGCAGTTGTTAATCATCACTCTTGTCTTTTCTGTTGATTTTATAAGAAAGTAACATAGTCAATAAATAATGAGCCAGGGTAACTGATGGCCTTTGTGATACAGTAATATGGTAGCTACGGTAATTTAGAATTAAACATATATATTTACTAGGAATTTAAACACCCATCTGAAAAGATGAAAACTCTATGACTAAGCTAGTTTTTCTTTTGAAATCTCGCACCTAGTAACACCACTTACTGTATAGCGAATAAGTAAAGATAAACATGGATTTGCCAGTTCTTACATAGGAACATAAAAATAGGAATATATTTAGCTCATTCTAATATAAAATAGAACATTTCAAAAATCTTGAAGCTCCTTAGAATCTCCTTTCCTTTCCCATAAGACACTTATAGAAAGGTAAACTGATTTTTGAATACATCTTCTCTGAAAAGCATTTCATCTCCTAATGGTGAATTAAAATTGTTCTTAAAATGAATAATGGCACTTTTTGAGCCCTATTATGTATCCTTAAAAATTCAGCTTTACCTTTATCCAAGTTTAGCACTCCAAAGAAGTTTCTTCTCCCTTAAATAATCTTCGTAACCATATTGCATCACTAAAATATTTAAACAGTTACAGGAAAATTCATTTTCTGAGGATTGATGGATGGGATTTCTTGTAGGGACCCCTTCACGGTTACCAAGACAAAGTAGCTGAATAACCCTTTTAAAAATTTTTTTTTAAGGATTTTTTTTAATTTATTTATTAGAGAGAGAGAGCATAAGCAGGGGAAGCAGCAGGCAGAGCAAGAAACAGGCTCCCCAGTGAGCAGGGAGCCCGATGCGGGACTCGATCCCAGCACCCTGGGATCATGACCCGTGCGGAAGGCAGACACTTAACCAACTGAGCCACCCAGGCGCCCCTCCTTTTTAAATTTTAAATCTCCAGTCTTTCTGTTACCCCAATGTAATTTCATGTGGTATTAAGATATATTAATCTCAAAGTAACTTAACCTAGGCTGTGCAGATGTGTTTACTTTTGGAAATAAGAGATTAATTGACTGCATATAACTCTTGAAAATTTAAGGGAAAAGAAACTACTTTAATGGCACTAAAAGGCTGGTTTGGCTTTTTAAAATAAAAAATATATATAATTTTCTACAGCTTGGTTTCTCAAACTTTAAGATAGATAAATGTGAAAATGTTCTTCAGGAGGCTGTGGTTAACAATTTAGATTACATTTCCTTCCCCCTCCCTACCACAATGATCCCTGGTATTGTCAAAGTTGGTAACGACATTTTCATATAGGCCTTAGGCCTAGTTTATTAATCTGGACATTCTGTTTTAGTTATTTCATTTCTGTGTAATTTGGGAAAAGATATAATTCAGAATGAAGTATTGTGATATATTAAGGTAAAATATATTTTTATAAATATAAAGTATAAAATGTGTTTTTGTGAATGAATATCTGCTTTCCTGGAATGTTTTCACAAAAGTATACCTAACATACTTCTAAATTTTTCTGAGTTCATGAAGTTACATTTATTAGTATGTAACTAAAGCTAATTGTTTTTAACCTAAGGGGATTCTACATTGATAGTAATCCAGTGAAGCATGTTTCAGAACAAGAGCTCTGGGCCACAGAACCCCAGTTCACATTGTGGCCTGCTGTGGGGAAGTGTTTAGCGCCATGAAGCCTCAGTTTCCTCGTTTTTAAAGTGGGAGCGATAATAGGGCTGAGATTGTATCATAGCGTGTGGCGTGTATTTTTAGGGACATCTCTACGCTGCTCCCCCTCTCCAATAGGCCTGATAGATTGTCACGTTTTCATAAAAGAGCAGCATAGTACCCAGAGTTGGGGAATCTGACTCAGACTGAATGCGGCTATTTTTATCCTTTTCCTGTTAGATTTTGGCATTTGCATTTTTTGTTTTATATAGTATTTATTTTAGGTTGTGCATTTGATACAGTCCTGACAGTACAACCAGTATTTCTGTTTTATAGGGATGACATTTTAACTGTTTAAAATTTTTAAAATTAAAAAAAATTTTTTTAATTTTAGAGCAACAAAAGATTGAAACAGCAAAAGAAAGTGATGTTACAAAGTTGTTGTGTGTTACAGTTTCAAAATGTAAAATGTCTCAGCATTTACTACTTTGTTATCTCACATTCCAGACCATGTGCCCTGTGTGTTTGGATCGTCTGAAGAATATGATTTTCCTCTGTGGCCATGGAACGTGCCAGCTCTGTGGAGACCGAATGAGTGAATGTCCTATTTGTCGCAAGGCTATTGAACGAAGGATTCTTTTGTATTAATTAAGAAACTCTCTGTTTTCTTAGCTGAAGTATTTGGTCATGAGCTCTTAGTAATCTGTTAAGCTAGGTGGAGGTTCTAATGAATTAATTTTTAATATCATAGTTTCTTTCCTAGAGTGTAATTAATGTGCCAGAACAAAAAACCTCTACAAGACAGTGTTTGAAGTTATGTTTTTTGTTTTTGTTTCTTTTAATTTGAAACATAAATCCATGTAATTCATAGGTAATTTATTTGTCACTTCTAAGGGGAAAATCCTTTAAGGATCTGTTATTTTTGTTTTTATTGCATCTTTTCTTATAGTTTATAAATTTGTTAGACCTCGAGAAATGTAGTTCCTTATGATCAGCTATCCTTCAGTTTATCATGATTTTACACATTGGGTTGACACAGGTACTCAGACCAGTCATGCATCAAATGAACAGGACAAGTCAAACCACTAGGTCACATGTGTTAAATGACAAAATTATAATACAAGTTTTACATACTTAATACTGAAGAGAGGATTATCTTTTTAAGATAAAAAGTTATGCAAATGATTGATTCTGAATTCTTAAATGGAAGCATGGAATGAGAGAGTAGTGACTTTGCATTTAGCTTAATTTCTAGATTTAAAAGGAAGATTGTTTAACTTGAATCAAATTTCCAGTTTCATGATGATTGACATGAAAAGGAAAAACAAGCAATCATAGTGGGGAACAGAAGTGGGGGAAGTGGCCAATAAATGAGTACCTATTAATTGACCGTTAACAGTTGCCTTTCATATATATTAATCTATACACTGTTCTGTTTACCAGCCTTTAAAAAAAAAAGTCTGTGAAAAGTGTACCTCAGTTTTCCCTGTGGTTACTTATCCAGGCTTGATCTGACCAGTGAAATAATGTCGCCCTTTTTGGGCTTCTGAGGTTCCATGTAGCTTTTCTCATGTACTGAATAGTACCCCAGTGATCTGAGAAGGATAACGCATTGTCCCAAGGCAGCAATCTTTTTCTTGTCCGTATCTGTTTAATTCTGATAGTGATACTGGTTCTGTCTTCACCATAACACCTACTTCCATTTTCTTTCAGTTGCTAAGGCTTGTAAAGAAAACACTCTCTTTATACCTACAGGTGAAGATATTATTTAAATTGCCAACAGTATCCAAGACATAGTAAGTAACCTAATAATAAATACTTACTTTAGAAAGAGTGACCAGGACATTTACAGAAATATGTCTAATTACCTGTAGTTTTTTGTTTTTTTGTTTTTTTTCACTCTGATTCTAGAGCATCTGATCATTTTCCCTTCTTTGAATGAGTAGTCTTACTCTGTCTAGGATGAATCTACATATAAATAAGTGTTTTGGGGTCATTGCTGCTAGATTATAAAAATATCAGCTGTTTACAGTGGTATCTACTATATACTGTGTATAAGCTTATTCCTAAGGCTGTAGTTATCTGGTAGTTTTTTTCCTTTCTTTAATTCTGGTTCTTCTTTCTTTTTGTTTGTTTTTTGGGGTTTTTTTTTTGAGGGTTTTTTTTGTTGTTGTTATGACAACTAAATTTAAGAATATTCCTGGCAATTTAACGGCTGCTGCCTTTGCAAGTCCTGGTGAAAACAGTAGTGAGCTTTGCTGGCTGATTTTGTAGTGTCGGTAATTCTATATCTGTGTTTAGCTGAATAACTTAGGATTTAGAACAGTAAAATTTTTATAAATTTTAAATTTGAAAATTTATATAGATTCAGTTATCTAATAAAGGGCCACTGAGGCTATTTTTTAAGCCATATTTTAAAGTTATAGAGAGAACATCTGACATGATGTTCACTTAAAGAAATAGATTATTTTCTTTCAGATTTGAAAATAGTGAAAGTCGGGATTTTTTTTCTTCCATGCCATAGGCTGCCCATCTCTTTTCCACTAGATCAGCTGGAGAGGAGGAAACACCTGGCTGACTTGTGCATGGTTTGGCCACCCAGTGAATTCTGTAGTCTAGAGCTCTGCTTTACTTAAATCCTTTTTGTCTTTGGAGCTTGCAGTGCTTAAACTTACATCCCTAAAAGGCAATTTCATTTTCCAGACTAGTTTATTTCTTCTACATTAAAAATACAATAAACACAAACTATTACAAAAAGTCATAAGGTCGCTATGATCATAATGCTGTATACTTGTGGATTTTTCTTTATTTGTACCACTTTGAAATCTGTTTAATGAATAGAAGGTGTTTCTCTGTTCATGTTTTCAAGCATCTGAAAAATTATTTTAAATTTATTTTGTGTTTGTGAGCAAGAGTAAGATTAGGAAGCGAGTTGTTTAAGTGATTTCCTTCTAATTTTGTGAAATTGCTACCTCTTAATGTCTCTCGGCAGCACTTTCCCAGTTAGATAGGTTTCCTTCTCATCAGCTCATCATCATGTGCCTCAGAAGAGCTTTTACTTTTCCTAGAATCATTAAAAAAAACATAACAGACATTCATTCAAAAATTTATTGGGCCTCAGGGGCTAGATACACAACATTGAAAAAAATGGTCAGCATCTTAGCACACACAGAATCTATCATGCAGCAGTTGTACATTTGAAGAAATCGGTAGTCAAGAAGGGATCCAAAGGTACTAATAACATTCTTCCTAATGTTTCAGAAGAGTTGTCATTTGGATTCCCTCTCTGTACCCCCTCACTCCTACCACATTTTCTCCTCTACGACTAAGCTTTGTTGCCTGAAACACACAGAACTTACCAGATGGTGCTATTCTACTCGTTTTGGTTCACATAATTTAACATTCTTACTGCTTATACTATATATGTATTTAATTTTGTTGGGAGCCAGAAGGTTTTCAAGAGATCATTTTGTATTAGTGTAGGAATTAGTATATTAGACAAATGTTTAGTTTAGCTGGCCAAATCATAATTGGACAAGATGTTTGTAATTTTAAACATTGCAAATTGACCAGCTAGTTACTGAGACATAATGATGATGTTGAAAATAGCATTCTTAAATTTGTATCTTTGATGGCTTTAGCCTGTAAGAGCATTTTAGCATATTGAAATGCATGCTGCTTAAGATTTGTCCAATTCAAATTTCAAAGCTTGCTGGGTCATGTTCTTGTTTATTAGGAATTTTGGGCCCTTTTTGACTAGGAATTAGTTACGCTTATGAACTAAGAGACTTAGTGATGCAGTAGGATAGGGAAACAGTAAGGAGTTGCAACAAGTAAGAAAGAAAAGTCAGTGTTTGAATTTAGAGAAAAAAAGGGGTTTAAGAAAATCATGTAGATTTCATCAAAGCAGTAAGCAGAGTATACTTGATTGAATGATAAAAAAAGACCCTTCAACCAGTTTTTAGTGTCGTTTAATTGACAATTGCTTTGTAAACTATATGGTTTAATACATCTGGCTTTAAAAAAAGTCCAAAGGAAAAGCATCTATCCTGTCAGAGTCTCTAAAATGATACAGTAATAATTTGTGTAAAAATTGAATTTTTGGAATAGAATTTTTTTTGCATTTTTTTATTGTAAAAACACTTAACATGAAATTTACCATCTTTAAGTGTACAGGTCGGTAGTGTTAAGTATATATTCATGTTATTAAATGGCTATCCAGAACTTTCTTGCCTTGCAGAACTGAAACTCTATTATACACATTGAACAACTCCCTTTCTCCCCCCAGTGGAACAGAGTTTTGATTAAATATAAATCAAGAAACAACCTGAATTTTCTTAATAGTTTGTGTCTGCAAGATTTAAAGTCGTGGCCAACATTAAGTTCCTAAGATTTGGGGGATGACAGAATTTCTTCCCTTCATCCCAACTGTTATAAATCATAATTGGGTTGGGGTTAATTGTCTGTTAATTGGAAGGATTTGTTACTTCATTTGGAGCCTGGGGTGGGGGGGCGATTTTCAACATTAGAATTAGGTTAGCTTTGAATCTGTAGTGAATGGGGAAGGTAATAGATTTTCACAGACTATGTGTGCCTTGTCAAAAATGTCAGTTGTCTTTAAGTCTTCTTGTAACGGTCTCAAAATATTTTTTTCTCTCAAAAACGCAACCTAATTTTATTTTCTTGAATATTATGATAGGAATGCTTACTGATATTACTTGATAATCATATGATAGCCTTGGAACTTTTATATATATATATATAAGTTCCAAACTTATATATATATGTTTTATATATATATGAAACTATAGCAGTATTAATAATCACAGTTGTACTTCTTTAAAACATTAAATTTGAGGAAAAACTATTTAATGCTATCTCATGTGTACATTGCTTTGCTGTAGTGAGGGGGAAAGTCCTTTAGATTGAGACTCAGTTTACTGATAAATGGTTACTAGAGGATGAAACTAAAGTATGAAAATATGAATGAGTTAGTGGAGCTGATGAATTAAAATTGTAGGTTGCTACATTGGCATTTTCTACCTCCTTTTCTGTCAGAGTATTACTTTTCCAGCTTTTATTCTTTTTTGTGACTAAGGAAGAGATGGGAACCCGAGGTTCAAATTGAAATTTTTGTGTTGTTGAGGATTTAAGCAGTAGGTACAGGAAGGGTGACTTGCCACATCAATTTGGTGCGTAAATCCATAACGACAGGTGGTGACTGACACGTACAAAATGTGTAAGAAAGATAATATTGCTGAATGTTTTGCTTTTCCTGTACAGTCTACATGACTTTGTTTCATAAATGTGACTTCTTTCCTCCCAAATGCAAAATGGTCTTGTAATTTTCTATAAAATAAACAGATATGCCGTTTTGTCTAAAATCTATAATTTCAGGAAGCTATTGAAAGTTCTGACTCAGGGCTTTGTAACAGTTTAAGCAATTGTTAATTATATTTTGGAAAGTCCATCTACATAATTTTTCAGTGCCTTGAAGGAATTATTAACTTGGCAACACTACTAAAACTTTATAGAAGGCTGTCTTTACTGTGGGTGTATCATCACACACACGTTTATAAGGCGTATTGCTCAGCTTGTGTAATAGCAATACTGCATGTGTGCTGGGTTTGGGTAATTCTTTAGAGGAAGTTTTCTAGATTTGCACTTGATATTTGTTTTTAAAAAACTGATTATTTATGGCCATGACACTGTTACCAGAAAAGTAATTCTACAAGTCATTATGCAAAGTCATGTATAAGTAGCATCTGGGAAGAAGAGCTAGGGTTCATACAGTTTGCTATTTTAATATGAAAGGAGGATCTGTTTGGTAAACACAGATTGTCTTCCCCTCATGAAAAAAAGACTTTTTGTTCAAGTGATTCGGTTTAAAAACATTTTTTTAAAGGAAATCATGGATTGCATGTTCTTAATGCTAGTCTTACTTAGCCTGAATCCACAAAATTGTTTTTCTGTTAATTTCAGTATTCTTGTCATTCTAAATACAGTATATTCAGTGTGATAGGAAGCAGTTTAATTGACGCATAGCAGTGTTTTGCTTTGTATTTTTTCCAGTGTTTTTTAGCTCCCACTTGATTAAAAGTCTTGCTCGTGAATATAGTTTCTGTATGGCAAATGATTCTTGCTTATTAGCTTTTGTTAAAAAAACACTTAGCAAGAGCTAAGCTTTTAAAAATAAATGCAAACATTTACCATTAATAAAACTTACAATGTAATATTATATAATGCTTTTCTCTGATCTTTTGAAAGTATTCTTTATATGAATTTTTATTTTTAAGGTATTTGAAAACATATCTCAATATATCAAATCCATTATTGGAAAGGAAATTATCA